AAGATCAGGGTGGTAGGGTTGCTGTAAGGGTTAAATTTTGCAGACCTGGAATACTGAGCTAACATATGTGCACATCATTATCTGTTGGTTAAGGAATGAAGTATATTAATAGTGTTTCTTTGAAACCAGCAGTCCAGGATGCTTGGGGGCAGGTTTTAACAGCTTATCAGCAGTGTTTATTCGTAACAGTGTGATTAATGATTTACATCTGTTTTCTCTGAGACCTTCAGAGTCCTCTGTTGTTAGGGGCTGGTTACATAGTAAGAATATGCTCACATATTTGAAAGGGTGTAAGAAACTCCAACAGTAAATCCATTTTGGTTTTCTGAGTGATTCTGTGCACAGTGGTTCTTTCTGACAGTGAATTATATTCATGTGATAGACAAAAATGGGAGATCATGCCTGGCCCTTTTCCCAACCCCAGTATGAAGCAGCCTTTGGCTGTGATGCAAATCCTTACTTTAATAATGTTGCTATATTGCACCTTTTTCCTGTAATAAATTTTATATTTATCAGCATTATCATTTTAGGTCCTACGAGTTTTTTTTAGCAATTTAGTTTAGCTGTCAGTGGTTAGTACAGCACAATCTCTGGCAATGTGGCAGTTTGGCATTTTTAGGCCATCTCCATTTCTCAAAGTATGACTTTTTTCTTTCTCTTGAGTTGTGTATCAAGATGTATAGTCTAGCTCTTTTTCCAGGTTCAGTTTATTCAATGGTCTCTTGTTTCCTTATTTTCAGTACTAATGACTTTCTCACTGTGCTTTCTGGTTTCTGATCTTTCTCGCTCAGATTTACTGCACTCTGGTCATCAACAATCTTCCCTGGCTTCCTGAGTAGTATAACAAGTAAGAAACTTGGTATATTCTTAGTATAATAAGTATAATAATAAGATATTCCTGTTTATCTCAATAGGGACATGATTACATGTACCTGCACTATTGCATTATCTTTTATCAGAGGTATATGCCTCTGTTTGAGAACATGTTTATCAACAAAACTGTTTTCTACATGGACTCCAATCAATATAGTTCTCTCCCAGAAGTGTTGTTGTTATAAGAGTTCCTATTAGATTTTCACTTGCACTGATCTCTGACAATATGGATTGTATGTGTGCAGTAACATGCCCATGTGTCTTGCTTCACTAGTAACTTACTTCCTTATAATCCTTCCATAGTTTAGCTATTAAGGTATTATCTGGGAGTGACCGTCTGCCCCTACATCTTTATATATCTATGTCATTTACCTATGATCTAGCTTGTATGTCTAAACTTAGCTTTCTAATGGTAACATACCCACTCCTTTTAAGTCTTCTGACTAGTACCATTCAATTTATCAATGTTTTTTTAAAAACCCTTTACATTTAGCTTTTTAATATTCCACCTTTAAAAGTTTTACTTATTTCTCCTATTATCATAGATTTTAGTTATGATGGCTGGCCATTCTTCATATCTCCTATTGTTATCTGGGTTAACATAACAATCTAGGTTGATTAGCTCATGAAATGCAAACAAATTTACTTTCAGTCCTTTTATTACTCAAAGTCCAAACTCTAGGAATTAAATGGAATAGAAGAATTGGGAACCACTATGATGATGAAGTATGAAGATAAAATTCTGAAGCTAAATCCTTGGGGGCAAAGGACAATGATTCATTAATATTCCGATAAACATTAAAAACAAAAATTTTGGACTACATACTGGATCTGTGTGAAGTTTCTAAATTATAGGTGTTATTATTTTTAACCTATCTGCATTTATACTTTTTTCCAACATTAATATCAGAAACATATAAAAAGGATTCTTAGCTTATGTATAGTGTGGTAACTTATAAAATAAATTATTACCAGTAGCATACTGCTCACCTACTCATGCTTTTGAGGGATACAAACCTAAATTTTTCATGTTGACAGCATATACCATTAATATGATGAGAATAGCATTTTATTTCTGTGGTCTTCCTACAAAACAAAAACAAAACAAATTTGTAATGCCAGTGCAATCATTAAATATATGTGTGTGTATGTGTGTGTATACATAAAACATATATAAACCCAAATTGAGGGGTATTCTATAAAATTCTTGACAAGTACTCCTCAAAACTGTCAAGGAAACTGAAATATGGAAGATTTAAGAAGTTGTTACAGACCAGTAAAAGATAAGGAGACATGACTATTAGATGTAATGTGGTATCCTGGATGGGATCTTGAAATACAAATATATTAGGGAAAGGTGCAACTGGGTGGTTCACTGGGTTAAGCGTTGGACTCCTGGTTTTAGCTCAAGCCTTGATCTCGCATTCATGGGATTGAGCCCAGTGTTGAGGTCTGCACTCAGTATGGAGTCTGCTTCAGATTCTCTCTCCTCCCTCCCTCTCTCTAATAAAATATATATTTTTTAAATTAGGGAAAAACCAGTGTGATCTGAAAAATGTTTACTTAATAATGTATCAGTGTCATTACTTAGGTAAGACAAATATACCAGAGTAAGATGTTTGTAAGAGGAACTGGGTGAGTCTATAAGAACTAGTGTTGTTATTTTTATTTAAACCTAAAACTATTGTAAATTGAAGTTAATTTTTTGAAAGTACTCCGGGTTTGATAATTTCCTTTTCATACTATAGTTTTCTGAAAAATCAGGCAGGCAGAAAAAAATTTTTTTTCTATCATTTCCTTTTGAACATTGTGCACTAAGCTCAGTTGTATCAAGGTGTCAGAGGTGGAGGTGCACACTTTCTTATCTGCTGGAAGGAACCTCCTTGCTACAAAGAGTGCTGATTCAGGGGCTGGTCTACTAGCCCTGGTGGTATGATATGAAGGTACAGCCTTCATCCAATGGTGAGCTCTCACTACAGGCTCTTTTTTTAAAAAAAAAAATATTTATTTATTTATTTATTATTCATGATAGACATAGAGAGAGAGAGAGAGGCAGAGACACAGGAGGAGGGAGAAGCAGGCTCCATGCCAGGACCCTGATATGGGATTTGATCCCGGGACTCCAGGATCGCGCCCTGGGCCAAAGGCAGGCGCTAAACCACTGAGCCACCCAGGGATCCCCCTACAGGCTCTTTTCTTTAGCAGTGATGCTGCTAAGTGGCAACAACCTAGTGTAAAAGAAATACCTATTCTCTCATCATATGCCATCATATTCCTCACATGATATCAGCAGAGGATTGGGAATAGAACTCAGGGAATCAATTGACTTATTGTCTTCATGCTCAATCTACCAGATCACACCTCAGAATGCAATGTGCCCAGAGTTGAGAGACATTTTGTGGTCCAGCTTTTTAAAAATGTGGCTGCATTTACTTTCTTCTCTATGCTAAGCCATGCAGCCTCAAATGATGACAGACAGACCAGTATGTTCTTGACTAAGACTATACAATACTAAATTGTTTTCTCAAAAGTTAGTCTGCCTTTCAATACCAATGTGGTACTTATGACATGAAAGGAGACTTTTTCATTCCAATTCCAAAAACTGCTGTCCAAACAGAATAAAAATAATAATGGTTTGCAATGCTGCAGTGTGAGCACACATTATGAGGTTGGAAAAAGATCCTGTACAGGACACTTAGACTACATGACTATGATGTTCTTTATAATTACACAGTACAAAATAAACCACTAGTAGATACAACGAAAGCCAAATAAACATTTAAGAATCATTCAGCCCACCCGCATACCCACAGATACATATACACAAGGATACTTAGGAAATCTCATAGATCTCTAATGCCCTAGAAAAACAGGGCATGTCAAAATTTCATTGCATCAACAGCATCAAGCTGAGGGAAGCCAACAGAAGAACATAAACTGGAACTCAAAAAACAAAAGTGGACAGGGTCGAGAGCAGGTTTGACTGCTGCCTTCTACTAGAACTAGTCAGTGGTAATGAATTGTTACATAAACTGATAGAGATGTACCATGTAACTCAGAGACTAGCCACAAACATGTATTGGTATTGTTCACAGAATTTGTTAACTTCCTCCATCTTTAAAACTTCACATTTCACAGTGGGTGTGTGTGTAGGAGAATATTTTACTGTATTTTTTCTATAAAACTTATGAACCACAAATTTAGGTACAATTCTAGGTGAAGATTTTATCCTCAATTCTGAAACTGATATGTTTCCTTAGGAAAAAAATTATCTGAAGCAAACTTTCAATATTTAAAAATACGACTTATTAAAATATAAGACTTTGGTCAAATCTTATTTGATGATTTTAAGATTTTTTTAAATTTATTTTTTAGAGACAGAGAGAGAGAGAGGCAGAGACACAGGCAGATGGAGAAGCAGGCTCCATGCAGGGAGCCTGACATGGGACTCAATCCTGAGTCTCCAGGATCACGCCCTGGGCTGAAGGTGGCGCTAAACCACTAAGCCACCGGGGCTGCCCTTATTTGATGATTAATATGTAGCAAAGGCTTTTGTGGTTTTTTTCCCTGAGATTACTCTAGTTTCTAATGAAGACTTCTGATCAGTGAGGATATTGACAGTTTTCTTCCTCATGTGAAGTCTCTGATGCACAGTGACAGGCTGAATTTCATAGGTCTTCTGACATTATATTCATAGGGTTTTGTCCCACTGTAACAGAGTTAACTAAGCTATGTGCATTTAACCGACAGAACAAAATCTTTAAGAGCTCAACAGGACATTTTTTAAAGCCAACCCATGAAGATCTGTTAGAGAATTGTTTCACCCAGTTATTCATATTTCAGCTTCTTTCACCTTATGCTCTAACATGCTTAATAGAGAGCACCCAAGTCTAGGTGCTAGAAATCCCTCTATTCCAACATAACATAGGACAGAAAGAATGTAAGGTGATTTTTAAAGGCTAAACTTAGCTTAAATGTAATAGCATCATATTCCATGACCAGTATCACTTAAATGAATAACAGACTAGGAAATCACTGGAAGAGGAAATATTTAAGTGAAAAAAATCTGCGAATCTATGTGATATGAGCTTTTTTACTGTGTGTTATCAATTAAGGTAGGAGTCCCTTTAGGACTTCCCAAATTCACCACAATCAAGGCTTTTCTCTCTGGTGTGGATTCTGGTATGATGTACTCTAAGAGCTGCCTTACGAACAAAAGTTTTCCTGCATTCATTACATTCATAGGGTTTCTCTCCTGTGTGAATTCTCTGGTGTACTCTGAGGGTTGAATTTTGTGCAAAAGCTTTCCCACATTCATTACACTCATAGGGTTTCTCCCCTGTATGAATTCTCTGGTGTGCACTTAGATGTGACTTCTGGGAGAAACTCTTCCCACATTCATTACACTCATAGGATTTTATGCCTGTATGAGTTCTCTGATGTACTCTGAGGGTTGAATTATGGGCAAAAGGTTTCCCGCATATATTACATTCATAGGGTTTCTCCCCTGTATGAATTCTCTGATGTGCAGTAACATATGATTTCTGGGAGAAAGTTTTTCCACATTCATTACATTCATAGGGTTTCTCCCCTGTTTGAGTCCTCAGATGCTCCTGGAGGTGTGATGCCTTGGAGAAAGTTTTCCCACATTCATTACACTCATAGGGTTTCTCTCCTGTGTGAATTCTCTGATGTGCCCTGAGGGCTGAATTATCAGCAAAAGCTTTCCCACATTCCTTGCATTCATAAGGTTTCTCCCCTGTGTGAATTCTCTGATGTGCACAGAGGTGTGTCCTTTGGGAGAAAGTTTTCCCACATTCATTACATTCATAGGGTTTCTCTCCTGTGTGAATTCTTTGATGGACTATGAGAGCTGCCTTACAGACAAAAGTTTTCCCACATTCATTACATTTATAAGGTTTTTCCCCTTTGTGAATTCTTTCATGTCCACTAAGGTATGATTTCTGAGAGAAGGTTTTCCCACACTCACCACATTTATAAGGTTTCTCACCTGTGTGAATTCTCTGATGTGTTCTGAGATGTGTATTCTGTGAAAAAGTCTTTCCACATTCATTACATTCATAGAGTTTCTCCCCTGTGTGAATTTTTTGATGTGCTCTGAGTGCTGAATTATGGGCAAACGTTTTTGCACATTCATTACACTCATATGGTTTCTCCCCTGTATGAATTCTCTGATGTACTCTGAGAGCTGAATTATGGGCAAACGCTTTTTTACAGTCACTACATTCATAGGGTTTCTCTCCTGTGTGCATTCTCTGATGTGCTCTAAGGGCTGAATTATGCACAAAAGATCTCCCACAGTCATTACACTCATAGGGTTTCTCACTTGTATGAATTTTCTGATGTGCTTTGAGAACAGATAGATGGGCAAAAGACGTCCCACATTCATTACACTCATAGGGTTTCTCCCCTGTGTGAATTCTTTGATGTGCTCTGAGGTTTGAATTATCAGCAAAAGTTTTCCCACATCCATTACATTTATAGGGTTTCTCCCCCATATGAATTCTCTGGTGTGCACTAAGGTGTGTCTTGTGAGAGAAAGTTTTCCCACATTTAATACACTTGTAGGGTTTTTCACCTGTGTGAATTCTCTGATGTGTTCTGAAATGTGATATCTTAGAGAAAGTTTTCTGACATTCAATACATTTGTAGGATTTCTCCCCTGTGTGAATTCTCTGATGTTCTTTTAGATTTACCATCTTGAAGAATGTTTTCCCATATACATTACTTTGACAGGGTTTCATTACTGTGTGTGTTCTTTGGTGTACTGTGAGAGCAGACTTGTAAGATTTTCCACATCCACTGTTTTCGTAAGATTTCTCCTTTGTGTGAATTGTTAGATTTTCACAGAGGTTTGACTTCTGACAGAAAGTTTTTCCATATTTATTACATTCATAGAGACTGACTGTCATATCAGTTCCAGGATAATGAATAAGGTGTGAATTTGAACAAAAAGATTCTCCACATTCCTCAGGTTTCTCTCCCGAATGGTTCCTCTGATGATGAATGAGTTCTGCTTTCTGGTAAAAGGATTTCCTGCATTCATGACATTCAAATGACTTCTCTCCAGTTTCACTTTGCTCATGTACACTGAGGGCTGAATTTTGATGGAAGGACCTCCCATATTTACCACACTGGTAGAGTTCTGCTTCTGTGTGAGTTCTCAAACATACTATAAGGTCTAATTTCTGGTAGAAAGCATTTATACATCTATTACATGTACAAAATTCTTCTCTAGTTTGTGTCTTTTTTTGTACTACACAGGTTGAGCTCTGGCTCAAAGTTCCATCACATTTATTGCTTGCAAAAGCACCCTGTTCTTTAACAGTTCTCTGAGATTGAATAAGAGATAAGATCCTGCTGAAGTTATTCTCATTTTCATCACATTTTGAGTGTATCACAGCCATGTGAACCTTACTGTATTTCATAGTGGTGGTTCTGTCACAGGATTTCCCACATTTATTCAGATCAAAGCATTTCTCTCTTACGCCAGTTCTCACATACTTAAATAAAGTTGCTTTAGCACAGTTTTTCCTAAATTCATCATCCTTATAGGATTCCCCTCCTGTAACACAGACAGTCTTATCATATAAAACTTTCCCAAATTCATCATATTCAAAAGATTTCTCCAGGGATTGAAGTTTCTGATTATCTTTCCTATAACTGAAAGCTTTCATGATTTTATTATACCCATAAGACTTCTCTCCAACATGCGTTTTCTCATGCTTCATATCAAACTGCAACTTTGCGCATACATTCATGCAATCAGCCTTCTTTCTCGAATAGTTTTGATCACAAATAATTAATTCAGAAACAACTGGCAAATTCATTCTACATGAGTCAGATCTACAGGGCAGTTTTTCAGAAGAATTTGGAGTTATGTCCAGATTAATTGGTTTTCCTAAAACTTTCTGCCCTTTATTCAATGTTTTGTTATCAGTGAGTATTACTTGCCACAGAGGTTTCTCTTCTTTTCTTTGGTTCCCCTCAATGTGAATATCAACACTAAAATATCCTAAAATGAGAAAAATTGAAAACATCTTTACCTTTTATATTCCTTATGGAGAGGAACTTATAGCCGTATGTTTGTTACATATTGTATTCTGTTACAAGTCACATTTCCAAAGTTCAATAATACACACACATAGGAAAAAGGTATACTCTCTTTTTTTTTTTCTCATCCACGTTGTTTAAAGAAAACAGGTTGTATGATCAAAATTGAGTAGCTCCTTTCTTCCTAAGTTCTCCTGCTTACAATTAACAAATCCCTGGAAAATCAATATATCAATAGTAAATAAGTAAGATGCTACAAAATGGAAAGTAAACTTTGGGACTCAAGAAATGATGTAGCAGAGGATTCCAAGGCTGTTCTGTTTCCCAGATATCTCATGTCGGGTACTAGAGTGTCATAAAAACCTACAATCCAAAGTCAACAATATACACAAAAAGAGCTACAAGAAAAGTGTGTTCTTGATTGCCAAATGGCTGAAATGAAACAAAGGTGATCTAACAGAACAGAAAATATTTTTGACAATATCCACCCTGCTCAAGCTAAACAAAAATGGAACATTCCCCTGTGGTTCATCCAGGTTTAGCAGGGAATGAAAGTTCCACTGTGACAGGTCCTTTATGGACTGGACACTCTTACAAAATTTCTATGAGCCAAAACTAAGAGCTCACTTGAAAGATCGTGAAGAATCCTAAGAAAGTTCTATTTATAGGACATTCAGGGATGGTAACAGCAATCACTACCAAAATTCTTCCTGGAACTACATTCCTACCTACTCTATGGAATCTGCAATAGCAAAAGCAATAAATCTGTTGTCTTAGGGTATTTATGGCAACACAGCAGGTAGGGGATGGAAAGAACGGAAAAGAGGCAGGAATAGTACAATATCATAGCTAGAAGGAATAGAAAGCATCTGGAATAATGATGCTCTCAAAACCCAAGATGCAATACATTTAAAAAATCAGTTTAATTTATATTATTCTCAAATGCACACGAAACATTCATCATGGAAGACGGCATTCTATACTGCAAGAAAAATCTTCACAAATGTAAAAGAACAGAAATCATATAAAGTGTAATCTCAGGCCATCAAAATTATACCAGAAATCAATAACACAAAGTTACCTGGAAAAATACAACCTATTTGTAAATTAATATAATTAACCCATCGGACAAAGAGAAAATTTCATAAGAAAATAAGATACTTAGAATTGAATGAAAACAAAAAATGTTTAGAATATATAGAAATTTGTGAGATGGGGATGCCTGGGTGGCTCAGCGGTTAAGCATCTGACTTCAGCTTGGATCATGATCCTGGAGTCCCAGGATCGAGTCCCACATCAGGTTCCCTGCATGGAGCCTGCTTCTCCCTCTGCTTATGTCTCTGCCTCCCTCTCTCTGTGTCTCTCATGAATAAAATAAAATAAAATCTTGAAAGAAAGAAAGAAAAAGAAAGAAAATCAAATTTACATCACCTCTTCTAGAAAATACAAGATCAATATCTAGAAAGAAGAAAAGAAAGAAAGAAAGAAAGAAAGAAAGAAAGAAAGAAAGAAAGTCAAATTTACATCACCTCTTCTAGAAAATACAAGATCAATATCTCTACAGACCAAAGACGGCGGAAGAGTAGGAGTCCTCAACCACCTGATCTCACCAACTTACCTAGATAACTTTTAGAACATCCTGAACACCTACGAATTCGACCTGAGATTTAGAGAGAGAATGGCTGGAATGCTACAGAGAGAAGGGTTTTCGCTTCTAGCAAGGTAGGAAGGTGGGAAAAAATAAGTAAATAAAAAAGAATAATGTGGGGGAGGGGCCCCGTGAGGAGCTGGGCTAAAGTGAGAGCCTCTGGGACAGGAAAGCCCAGAGCTGGAGAAGTGGTAACTTCAAAAATCTGCACTGGAGTTTTCCCGGATGGAAAAGTGCTTAGCAGGGAAATCGGGCAGAACCTCAGGAGGGACAGTGAAGCCTCAAGATTCCTAGAGTCACAGAGGAAGTGCGCCTGAGGGAATGCTCAGCACAAACTCTGGGCCGATATCTGTAAAGGGCATTTGGGAAAAGCCAGTCGGTTAGGCAGGCCGGCTCTGGACAGACAAGGCTGTGTCCCGTTGCCACCAAGAGAGGCGGTCCACAGGAGCGCAGTTCAAGCAGCACAAGACCCTGGATCCCAGGGTGCCAAAACAGATAAAGCCCACGATCCTGTGTTCTCCCTGGGACAGGAGGAAGCAGGGAAGGCACAGGACAGTGAGAACTCTCCTGCCGCTGAGCGCCCTCAAGCTGTGCAGATTAGTGCACTCACGCCGGCCCCCAGGAGCATCTATATCAGTGCAGACTCGGAGGCTGTATTAGTTACTAGCAGGGAGCTAACTCCAGACTAGAGATCTGGCCACAACAGAATTGTTGTTCCTCCTTGTTTCACCGTGTGCCTGAGAGAGGCAGGGATGCCAGGGAACAGAGGCCTCTCGGGGTAAATAGCTCCCACTGAGCCTGGCACCTGGCAGGGGGCAGGGCAGCTCCCTCCAGGCACACACAACTGAGAATCAGCACAGCAGGCCCCTCCACCAGAAGATCAGCTAGAATAACAGAGTAAGAGTTCTTGACCAAGCAGCCCTAGGAAGCTCCAAGAATGAAGGAGAAATAGAAGGAAAATAGTATGGAGGGTTCACCACCACTTTTTTAAATTATTTTTTTCCTTTTTCCATTACAACTTGATTTTATATCACACTAAACATTTCCAATATTTTTTCTCTTTTCCCATCTTAGCCACAATATTGTACCAGCTCTAAATTGTAGTTTCTTCCTTTTTGACTTTCACATTTCTACAATTACATGTCTTAGATACATTTCTGTATCTTCTGGATTCCCTTCAACATATTCAATTTAATTTGGAGAGATATATGAAATACAGGTTTTTGTTTTGTGTTTTTTGTTCTCTGCCTCACTTTCTTCTACAATGGTAGAAGTTAACACCTTCTAAAACATGACCAGCATGCACCTAGAACCAAATGGAACACCGTGCTGGGTTCATTCTGTAAGATTATATTCTCCCTCGATTCCCATTTTGCTCCTCTCTTTTTACTCGTTTATGTTTTGGTGGTTAATGTTGGAGCTTTTTATACAAGTATTGCTGGTTTATATAAATTTGGGACTGAGCATCTTCTAACATAAGGAACAAAATATACTCAGAACCAAGAGAATCACCCTCTAGGATACCTCAGGTAGACTACATTCTATCTCCACTGCCACTTCTTCACCACTGCCATTCCCCCATGGTCCAGCCCTTGATTTTCTTTTTTCTCTTTTTCCTCTTTTATTTTTCTTTTTTCTTCTTCTTTGGGGCTTTTCGCCTTTTTTATTTTTTATTACTTCGTTTAAAATTTTTTTTTTCACATTAGTGTCCTTTTGTTTAATTTTGTTCAGATCTTCTGTTTCATTTTCTGGTCTCTGACCTTGTTAGAGTCATCTAGAGTGGAATTTAGGTTGTGGTTGATATTTTTGACACAGCCTGCTCATACAGCCACTCTGCACTGAACAAAATGACTAGAAGGAAAAATTCACCACAAAACAAAGAATCAGAAACAATACTCTCTGTCACAAAGTTACAGAATAAGGATTTCAATTTGATGTCAGAAAGCCAATTCAGAAGCACAATTATAAAGCTACTGTTGGCTCTGGAAAAAGCATAAAAGACTCTAGAGGCTTTGTTACTGCAGAATGGAGATCTAAGAAGGGCAAAATTAAAAGCAAATGAAATGAGACACAATCCAAAGTGGATGTCCTAGTGACTAGGGTTAATGAGGTGGAAGAAAGAGTGAGTAACATAGAAAAGTTGATGGTAAGAAAGGAAGCTGAGGAAAAAAGAGAAAAACAATGAAGAGACCATGAGGAAAGGTTAAGGGAAATAAATGATAGCCTCAGAAGGAAGAATCTACATATAATTGGGATTCCAGAAGAGTCTGAGAGGGAGAGTGGGCTACAAAGTATATCTGAACAAATCATAGCTGAGAACTTCCCGAATTTGGGGAGGGAAACAGGCATTCAGATCCAGAAGGTACACAGGTTGCCCTCAAAATCAATAAAAACTGTTGAAACCTTGACATTTAACAGTGACACTTGCAAATTCCGAAGATAAAGAGAAAATCTTTAAGGCAGCGAGAGAAAAGAGATTAACTTATAGGGGGAGAAGTATCAGATTAACAGCAGACCTTTCCAGAGACCTGGCAGGCCAGAAAAGGTTGGCAGGATATAGTCAGGGTACTAAATAGAAAGAACACACAGCCAAGAATACTTTATCCAACAAGGCTATCATTCAGAATGGAAGAAGAGATAATGAGCTTCCAAGATAAGCAGAAACTGAAAGAATATGTGACCACCAAACCAGCTCTGCAAGAAATATTAAGGGGGAATCTGTAAAAGAAAGAGGGAACCCAAGAAATAAAACAGGGACTGAATAGGTATTATGATGACACAAAATTCATATTTTTCAATAGTAAATGTGAATGTGAATGTGATAAATGATCCCATCAAAAGACGCAGGGTTTCGGGCTGGATAAAAAAGCAAGACTGATCTATTTGCTGTCTACAAGAGACTCATTTTATACCCAAGGACACCTACAGCCTGAAAATGAAGGAGTGGAAAACGATTTACTATTCAAATGGACCTCAAAAGGAAGCTGTGGTAGCCATTCTCATATTAGATAAATTAAGGTTTATCCCAAAGACTGTAGTAAGGATGAAAAGGGACACTATATCATACTTAGAAGATCTGTCCAACAAGAAGACCTAACAATCAAGAATATTTATGTCCCTAATGTGGGAGCTGCCAAGTATATCAATTAATAACCTAAGTAAAGAGATACTTAGTAATAATACATTAATAGAAGGAGGTTTCAACACAGCACTTTCTGCAAATGACAGATATTCTAAGCACAACATCACCAAAGAAACAAGGGTTTTAGATGATACCCTGGACCAGATGGATTACACAGATATATACAGAACTT